CACTCTCCTAGAGTGAGGACCTGCAGGTCAGGAAATGGTCAATGCACCTTCACATTAGACCGTAAGTGACCTTAGAGTGGAGTCGTGCGGGTTTGTATCATGTTATTGCTTGAGTGGGCTTGGAGGGATACTTGCAAAGGAAGTTAATCCCTTAAACCTGACTTCAGAGAGGAAAAGCCTGAAATAATTACTAGTAGTGGTCTAAGGTACCCTTGAATTGCTATAAATATTAGGATCCTTTCTGTGTTGTCTGATTGAAAGCTGAAGAAAGAAGAGGAAAGATGCTAAAGAGAGGTTTTTCAGGTGTGAAATGCTCTGGAAGTCCTGATATTGCCTGCCTGCCAATGGCATGCTGCTTTCTATTCCTACATACTGACTGTCTCCCTGGGGAGAGAACCACATCCAGAAAGGAGAAAGGTCCAGGGGCTGGAAGTGTGGAGGGGAAAACAGCAAATAATCATAGGTAAGTGAGACAGTGTGGAATTTGCCAAGAAGACACAATACAAACTAAGCAGAGGAGAGAGAAAGAGAAAGGGACCAATCTAGAAGGAACGAGAAGGAAATCTGAAAGCGGAGGATGTACTTTCCCGGAGCTTAACATGCTGATATGTGGAGAGAGAGCTCTAAAAGCAGCGGTGAGCAGGTAACAACCCACTGACAATCTTTTCTTTGGCTGCCTCACACTGCTGATGTTAGCCAAAGAAAGATGGTCACTAATTTTCACTGAATATCACAGCGTTGCTTTGGTTTTGCTTAGGCAAGGTCTCACATTTGTTATTCAAACCTTCATGTAAGGAACTGCTGGCAAAAATACATCCTGGTCAAAAAATTCCAGCTCGGTAGCACTGAGAACACATGCCCGCTTCTAGGTAACCCACTCGCTCTTCTTCAAAAGGTTTGGAAAAACACCTAATGCCCTTCACATACCTGAAGCCAAGTGTTAAGTCAGCATGAGGATCACTGGAGAAAAGGACATTTTGTTTCTTTTAATTTCTCTCTTCCTTCTGCAAGGCTATCTTTTGTAAACACATTCCTGAGTTTATAAGATGGTTACATTGTACGCTTACCCTGCTGAGTTTGGAGGGCTTACACCCTCAGTGTGGAGAAATATTTCATGGGACGTAATGTGTGAGCTACACTTTTCAAGTGTGCTGAACACAGGCAGCGCTGGTTTGGAAAAACAACAACAAACGGGACATTTGTTTTAAATAATATGAAACACCGGAGCTACTCTTCAGTTCTGCAGCACGGCAGGACCCGGCATATCCCAGCAGGTCTCATTAGCCACAGACGAGACTCCCTTCTCTACACTCCCTATTCCCCCTGCTAATACAATAAGGGACAACAGTTTGTGTGTGTGCCTATTTCCCTTGCAAGCACATTTTAATTATTGGCTCATAATTTTGAACACAGCTGCAACCCAAATTAACATAATTCTGATATGTTTTATATAGAGAGGAAAGTTCACAAAGCCTGATGACACAAAACATTTTCCAATGCTTTCTCAAGAAATCAGTATCATGCCTGAAAAAAAGAAATTTAAAAAAAAAAAGGCCAAATAAAAAAATATTTATACCTTACTGTTTAAAGGAAAAGGCTAAATGGAAACAATCTGGTGGGCAACAGCAGCAGCTAGGGTGAATATTCGTTCCTAAGTTATTAGGGTATCTTTGAGATGTCCACTAGTTTTAACTCCTGGATGGTCAGTCTAAATCTAGAAGTACTTAAGGGATTAAATGCCTTCAGGCATGCAAGATACAAATGACGTTTCTGTAGCATTTCCCAAAATACTTTACAAGCTTAGTGAAGTGACATTTCCAAAAGTCCTGTTAAGTTAGGAGACAGACTGTATTGTATTTTTCTCTTTTATTTAGGCTAATAACTGTGTGGAAGAGGACTTGCCTGAAATCTTGATGGATACCTCTGATAGGGTAAGAAATGTCAGTGTTGGGATAAATCATCCTCTGAAGACTTCTGCTGCTCTCCCCTACCATGAGCAAAGGTTGAAGGGACTGGCTTCATCTAAACATTTAACTGCCTCACTTGAGACAGCATGCCTTTCCAGTGCGTACTGCTGGCTTTGGTTTAAATATCAGCTGTAGCTCAAGTGCATGGTGAGGGATTCCTCCTACTTGCATTTATAGCTATTTAAAGGAGACTAGGCAGCTAGACTAGATGTAGGTGTCTACAAAGTTAGGTGAGATGAGTTTTCCCAAGTTGTCCACACCATGATTAACTTTCATGCTTGAACTCATGTTTTCTTACCTTGCAGTCCTCTAACACAGTGGATGTGAAATCCTTGTAGGTGTAGTCACTAAACTTGGGATATCTCCTAGAGTTTATCATGGCCAGGTCTACAAATGAGTAATCCAGCCAAGTTACCTAAGAGTGAGTTTGGATTTGTGAAACGCTACCAGACACACCTCGGTGCACGTGTCTGTGCAGGGAAAGCTTCAATCTCCCACATTATCCTAGATTCTGGGTCATGTCTGTGTGCCCAGCAATGCCAGAAACACTCTTTCCGGCAGTGTAGTTTGATTTTTTACTCGTAAAAACCCCTGTGCTAACAGCAAACGTCTGCACTCGCAGAAGGGGACAGAGGGAAGTAAGAAAGAAAAGAGCCCGAACCAGAAGGCAGAGGCTATAGGATGTGCTGTCAGTGAGGAGTCCCCTTCTGTGAAGGCTGACTCTCCTCACGTGCCATATAGGGTACAGGGTGTTCCATTTGGGGACTAGGCACCTCCTAAAAGACAAGACATTGCAGTGGTGACCATTCTGATGCCATGATGATCTTCTGTGGTTCTAGCTCTAAATAAATAATTAAGCTTATTTTATTGTCAAGCATGGAACACATTGGTCTAACAGGCACCAGTGGTGGAGGCTGATGGGATGAGGATCATTTTCAGCTACATAGGAGCAAAGTACATCTACAGGAAGGACCTGAAGGAGAGAGCCCCCTGTATTGTGACAACTCATTTTGTTGTTTGATGGACTACAATTCATACAACCTCCCTGTGTGATATGAGAAGAATATCCCAGCTCACAGTTATGTTCAGGGTGATTCAGCAGATTTTTCTATAGCACGTTGACCTTGCCTGTAGGTGATGTCTACAACAGGAGTGACCAGCTAGATTAGACAGGCAGGATGATGCAAGGGAGTTCATGCTGTGTTGACACTTTGAAGTCAACAGAGTTATCAGAAGAAAGCAGTCAGGAGTGCAGAGGGCGGCTTGTCTTCTGATGCCGCTCTTCATTCACTGTCTCCTACACTTGTCCTTGGCATGCATTTTCACCAGATCAAATTCGGGGAGACATTTTTGACAGAAACAGAAAAAAAGACCTTCTATGCCCAGAAATGAAATTCAGCAGAAAAAATGTCCTGAAGGAATATCCCCCATCAGGGGGACATAAGGAAGGGAAGGAAGCTTATGAAGGATTCAAGCTGAATTATGTAAAGCAGCACTCTATGAAAAGTAAAAAATCATAAAATATTAAAATAAAATTTTGATTGCTGTCACAGTATTTTTTTTAAACCGTGTGAGCTTTTCAGCCGTTCTGATTATTTTTGACTAGAATGGTTGCCAAACAATGAAAATAGGAAGCATACAATGTTCTGCTGGCACAGATGTTCCCAGTGATCATGACCTCTCATGAATCTTGCATTTGTACATAGTCAGCAGTAGTCAGGAATTTATTTTCTGTAGGTGAGAAGTGACTAAACAGACCTAATTGGTTTTGTTTATTTAAGAAATAGGAGTTTCCCATCGGCAGAGAACTGTTTGCAATTCTCTTTGTAGGAGGGGCTACAGACCAATATAATCTCAAGGCAAAGCTACTGAGAGCTTAGCGTGAGTTAAACCGTGTACAAGGTAAGCTTTTCGGATTTGGGGCATGCATAGGGAATTAGTATACTTCAAACTAAGTCAGTGAATGGGTTTTACGGATTAAATACTTGTATGTACTTTCTTTACCAACACGGTTATGTGCATCAAATGTTACAATTATTAATCATCTGCTTTCTAGGTAAATAGATTTAAGAAAAAGAAATTTAGATCTCAAAAGTGTGGAGTGCTTCCTTTCACCCCCTTCTTCCTGTTGTAGAGAAAAAGACGTTACTTATAAGAGGAATGTGTGGGTTTTGGTAGCCATTTATTTGCTTTTTGCTGCTTTTAATGCTGTAGCTTTACTGTTGACATGATGTTAATAACTGTGAAGCTAGTATGAACTAGGCACTGTCTACGTGTTTGCTGCTGACATGCACGCACTGGTTCTGAACGAGGAGGATGACAGTCTCTCTAGAAACCATTGTCACTTTAAATTCCAGCAAAGAGTTAGAATTGAACCAAGCAGGTATTGCACTTTGGCTCTGTCTGTGGTAAAGGCAAACCTAATGTTACCAGAGTCAAAATTAAATTCCATGTCTTCAGGTGCTTGCCTAAAGAAATGAGAAGAGTGGGGAGTGTTGTAAATGAGATTGAAAGTTTACAATGGGGGGGTGGGGGGGTGGGGGGGTGGAAATCCTTCCTGCCACTTTATAATGGAACAGAATGGCTGCTGGACAAAGCACAGCAATTGCTGAGTTTATATTGTGTATCTGATTAAAGAGTAAACTGTATCCTGAGATAATGCCAAAATAAACAGAGTGTATCTTGCACACCCTACTTTTTGGTCAAAGCAGAACACTTTGGGATGCAAATGGGTTTTGATTTGCTTGTTCTCTGACATGGGCCAATCACTCTCAGTACAAAGTTCTGCTTAACTAAACTGCACATATCAAAGACATCTTAAGGCAAAACTATACAATGCAGTCTCTCAATATAGTCTTTTAGCTCCTCGACTAATTTGATGAGAGTCTTGGACCATAAATCATTGGTTTCAAACAAGACAGCTTTGAACAATGCTTGAGAACCAGTTAGAGGCTCAAAACCAGCATTCCAAATTTTTATTTTGCAACACTTACTTCTTTATTCCAGTTAGTAGGAAATCAGGCACGTAGAAACATGTCTGGGAAACCCAAGCTGTACTACTTCAATGGACGAGGCCGAATGGAATCAATACGGTGGCTACTAGCAGCAGCCGGGGTTGAGGTTTGCCTCTGTTTTTTATACTAAGAGCATGTGACAAATATGTATTTTTACTGTTTCTTATAAAAAATGTGACTGACCAAGAGTTTCCAGCTCTGCATTTAGTGCATTGCTGACCAAGCCAACAATGACCACTTGCCGATCCTAAGCAGGGGGGTGAGTTCCTGTTTCACTTCCAAGCATCATGTGCTAAGCCTACTGGTAGCACCACAAATGCCTCTCCCCTGTAGCTAGTGAAAGAAAAAAATTAAAACCACAGCAGCAGAACTGGCTTCTTATCTTCTAATCACAGGGGTTGAGCACTTTCAATTCTGAAGACCTTCAGTTAAATCCCAGTGTCCTACCCCTGAAGTACTGTACATTATAAACCACAGACTAATTGGTTTTACTTCTAATGGCTTCTCATATTAAACTGGAAAGGGAGTGTGGGGATCTGTGTGTTTTAAGAGCTGTCAGTTTTTGTCATGGTGATGGGCAATGTGCCAGAAAGCTGCATGGGGCACATGACCTCTTCTCTTCATCCCTCCTTTTGCCAGCTTGTGGCAAAGGAGCTATACCACAGTCCTGCTGCTGCAGTGTGAATTTACCTATCCTTCTCTCTCCCTGCACCATCACTTGCCAGCACTGACAACAGAAGCGGCATGGGCATCGTTTGCTCAGCAGACAGGGTTTTGTGCCTTTCAGTCACCTCAGCTTTAGCCAAAATCTTACCTGTACAAAAATATGAACCATATGTGAGAGGGAAGAGGAGAGGATGTGACAGAGGCAAAATAAATTTTTAAAGATATCACTTCCAAATCTGATTTATTTTTTTAAAAGTAAAATTCCCCAAAACACATTGTCTCATGCAAAGCAGAAGCTAAAACATGCAGTGACAACACAACTTTTCTTCTGTATTTCCTGCAGTTTGAAGAATGTTTTCTGGAAACAAAGGATGATCTGACAAAGTTACAGAAGGGTAAGTTTCCTTCTCTTTTTAATAATTAGATAATAATAATAATAATTTGTTTGTCTTAGAACATCTAAGAAGTTTTATGTCTCTTAAAAAGAAAATCTAGACTGGATTGTACATGAGGTATCACAGATGCACACTGCAGTGTGTTAGATGGTATCATCCACCCAGTTGCTTCAGTCTTTACTGAATCACAGAAGGGCTGACGTCAGAAGGGACCTCTTGAGATCGTCTGCTCCACCTCCTCTCTTCAAGGAAGGCCACCTAGAACCAGCTGCCCAGGACAGTGTCCAGTTGGGTTTTGAGTATTTCCAAGGATGGAGACTCCACAGTCTCTCTGGGCAACCTACACCGGTGTTCAGTCACTCTCACAGTAAAAAAGCCTTTCCTTAAGTTCAGATGATTGACTCCTCTTTGTTTCAGTTTCTGCCCATTGCCTCCTGTCCTAAGACAATACAGGTTTTTATTATCAGATCATCTTGAAATTCATTCATTCCATCTTTGTGAACATGATACTCACATTTCCTCCAAACAAAATTCTATGTCTTGTGCTCTTCTAGTTCACTTAGCTTTTCAAAGAAGTCTGAGCTAGGGTTGGCATTTGCAGTCCTGCTCTCCTTTAGAAACAATGACACGAATCCCCTGCCACCTGCTGGCTTTCAAAAAGTATTTTGAAACACAAGCATAAATGAAAATGTGCCCTTAATAGCAGACAGTTTCCCTGCATGATTGTCTTACAGTGGATACGAAGACGGATGTAGCTAATCAGTTGTCTGAGTCAAGAAATACGATTCCATAAAGCAAATACTCTGACTCACTTCTCTGATTGGTTCCTGGAGGTATTTTGACCTCTTCCTTGCTAGAATAAGGCTTCTGCAGACTAGTAAGGTATTTACATGGCTACAGTCTCACACCAAGTGATATCTGGCTCTTGCAGGACTCTCACCAAACCCACCCATTATTCCCTGCTTCACGTCTGTACAGATGTATGCCACCGTATAAAGTCTATATAGTAGTCACAAAGATATTCTATGCATTTATATTTACATTATATGTTGACAAGCCCACAGATAGTCCAGATTTCCATAATACTTACCATAGCATGGTAGAGGGGATTCTGACCCAGAAACTGGCTGGGTCAGATCCTTCAGTCCTTCTCATCTGTATTAACCTCCATGAAAATCATGACAGTTAGGGCCATGCAGCACAGGACTTGTCTTTTTCAGTGTATGACTACTAAAAGTTTTGCATTTGGGAGCTTCCTCAGATTTGAAGAAACTTCAAGATGCTAACTGCTGTAATATTAAGTTATTAACATGTCATTACAAAATGGTTCTTGGTTTCATGGTAAGCGTTTCCCATGCCTTGTTGTGAGAATGAGGAAGACTGCTACTGGAAGGGTTATCAAGTACTTGAACAGGCTGCCCAGGGAAGTGGTTGAATCCCTATCCCTGGAGGTATTTAAAAGATGTGTAGATGTGGTGCTTAGAGACATGGTTTAGTGGTGGACTTGGCAGTGTTAGGTTAACAGTTCGACTCGGTGATCTAAAAGGTCTTTTCCAACCTAAATGATTCTATGATTCTAAATAAAAAAACAATACGTGCACTTACTTTGCCAAACACCCACTAATGGTTCTCATCCAGAAACTGGATGTCTCCTTGCCTTGTCCCCTTTTCCCTAGATGGATCCCTGCTGTTTCAACAAGTGCCAATGGTGGAGATCGATGGGATGAAGATGGTGCAGAGCAGAGCCATTGGCAACTACATAGCAACAAAGTACAACCTCTACGGGAAGGACCTGAAGGAGAGAGCCCTGTACTGTAACAGTACCACCTTTGTTAGACTACAGTTCATACTACCTCTCTGTGTAACACAAGAATACCCCAGCTCACAGTTAGATTCAGGGTGATACAGCAGCTTTTCACGTAGCACATGTTGACTCTGACTGCGGGTGATGTCTACAACAGTAATAAGCAGCTAGATTAGATAGGCAGCATGGTGCAAGGGAGTTCATGAAGATCAAAGGTCAGTACAGGTATCAGAAGAAAGCAGTCAGGAGTGCAGAGGGCAGACCATCTTACTGATGCTGCTTTTCATTTTCTCCTGCAGTTGTCAGCAGCAGGCATTTTCACCACACGAAATTCAGGGAAATGTCTTTGATGGAAACAAAAAAATTCTCTCTCTGATAACCAGGAATTAGAATTAGAATTAATAACTGGTTATTAAAGGACAGGGCTCTTAGGACACATGGTTTGACCTGAAGTATTTTTAAATGCTTCAGTTAATTAGAACTGGTAAACATGTCAAGATATTTGTTAGGAATTGTATAGACCCACTGTTTGACTTACCATGTCTGACTGGATTTTTCACAGAAGTTTGGATGACACACATGCCAATGTTGTACTTGGGTTCAAAAAAACTTAATATAGAGAAGTATCACCCCTGGTGAAAAATGGAAGGGGTGCAGTCTTTAGTTTTTGGTGAGGCACTTTGCACTTGTCTTTCACCCATGCTCCCCCCACTTCCCCCAAAGCTACTGCACTCCTGGGGGAACTGTTCCAAGCTATGCATGCTGGATAGAAGTGGCGGCGAGTTCCCAACATCTCAGCGGGGTTATGCCAGTGGCTGTTGTGCTGTTCAGAGCTACTGTGCTCGACTTGACCAAGTGGATCTATTCCTTTCAGAATTGATATGTATGTGGAAGCAGTGATAGATCTGAACGAGTTACTCATGACCCACACTTTCCAACCAGCGGATAAAAAGGAGCAACATTTTGCTACTATTGTGGACAAGGCCACAAACAGATACTTCCCAGTCTATGAGAAGGTACATGGCAAAGATGTAGTATCTTAATTAATATTGTTTTCCTGAAACTTCATCCTGGATCTACACAAACAATTTTTATTGAGGAAAACAGAGAAGAAAAATTACCACTTAAATATAAATGCTATGGTTTTGGTGGGGCTGGGATGAGGATGGAGACAGGACACTACAGAGGGGACAGAAGGCACTACAAATCTGGGAGAGATGCAGAGCTGCAAAACCCCAGGACACACAGAGCTCCGCAAATCTCCACGTTTCAGTCTGTATGTTGTTTCAAACAAAAGAAACTATAGCATCAGCTTTTACATAAAGTTTCCTCCCAAAGTGCAGAACCCCCTCTACCATATGTGCTGCATAAAAGCATTACAGCTCCTTCTGTAACAAAAGGGATGGATTAGTTGGGTGTCAAGACTGTGAGGCACAGGTTACATGTGGAGAATTCCCAGTGCAATATTCCCAAAACTGAAGAGGAAACAGGTGAGAAGTAAGGGAGCTGCCCATAATTTGAAAGAGTTCAAGATATTCTTACTATGCCCTGGGCTGAACTTAAGCCTCTTTTAAATTTTGTATAGGCATTTGCAGTGGTGGTTGTATCCCATAAAGCTTAGGCTTCAACACAGCAGCGCTGATTACATGAGCTACAGAAGTGAAGGCAAGAAGGGTACAACTGAGCTACCAGAAAGAAATGCGGAAGAGAAAGGGCTGATAAATTACGCCTGGGATGACAGTGTGGTCAGATCATTTGTTTGTACTACAGATGTTCTTACTGCATTTCCTTCTTTCAAGGGTAACTCCACGCAGTGTATGACCTTGCTTTGAACGTATCATAACTCACACAGAGAAAAAAAAAAAAATCACATCTGCTTCTGGTTCTCCGTTTCTAGGTTTTGAAAGATCATGGACAAGACTTTCTTGTTGGCAACCAGTTTAGCAGGGCAGATGTGCAACTACTTGAAACCCTTTTAATGGCAGAAGAGTTCAAGCCTGATATACTTGCCAAATTTCCTCTCTTGCAGGTAATTGAATGGACAGTTTTAATGCACGATGAATCAAAGCAGGACCACTGATTTAAACTGGCTGAGAAATATGGGAGAGTGGGAGGGTGAGGAAAGAAGTGAAAGGCAAAATCAAAATCAAATATCCTAAGTACTTTTAGCCTGCCTCAAATACTGATGGTTATTGCCACCTTCTGTCACTATAGCCATAAAAGCATAACAGGATGAAGCATACAGAGTCTTCCGCAGGATCAATCCATAATGTTACTTTTAGAGCATGGATAACATCTAAATGTCTGACAGTTACCATGGTTCTTAAGCACAGTGCTGTTTTGGTTTTGTTTTGTAGAGTTTTAAAGCAAGAATAAGCAATATCCCTACAATAAAGAAATTCCTGCAGCCTGGCAGCCAGAGGAAACCACCACTACAAGAAAAAGATGTACCAAAACTGATGAAAATTTTCCACTGAGCAGCAACCTAAACCCACAGAAACTCTGTTTCATTGTCTTTGTGTTTGCTGAGAGTGGCAAGGTGAAATTAATGAAAATAGTGAAAAGGTTTTTGATCTCTCTTTCCTTAGCTACAGGACTGATTTTAGCCTACTGCAAACACTTCCAAGGTAAATCTACATGAGCATACCAGCAAATGAAATAGTTCACTGAATTAGGTAGGAGGTACCCTGGACAACACAGGATGTCTTCAATTACTTAAGAGAATACCTCAAATAAAGTCTTACTATTGACACTCAAAACCAGTTTGTTCAATGACTTCTTGCTGCTACTTACACACCTAAGGGCTCTCTGGGTCTGTCTTTCTGGCATTCCCAAGAGTTGCTGGAAAATGAAGCAAGCACAGCGGGCGATGGATCTGTTCTGGGAAATGCCAGGAAAAGCCTACAGCTTCTGGTTCGATGGGGATGACAGGTTCGGATTCAGCTTTCCTCTGGACTTAACTTGGAGTATGCTGGGACCAGAGGTCCTACTGCACCTCTGTTTTGTCACTAGACATTTAAACCCTTGCACTGTAGCTTCACCAATATTTCCTTTAACAAAAGGTCTACTGTAGCCGCTAAAAGCACTTTGCAGACTCGACTGACAAACGAATCCTTGTTGCCAAGGGTAAAGTTGAAAACATTGTTTGAGAAAGGAGGAGTCAAATTGGTGTCAGGTATTAGTGAGACTTTGAAATGTAGGGCTTCATGTTGACTTATGTCTTTATATTAAACTCAGTTAAATACAAGTTGTAAGTAAGTTGTATGTTTATAATCACTGAAATCAAGCTCTGCTACTGAGAGGCTAGCAAGACAGTTGAACACATAAATATGACTATTATTTAAGCACCAAATCAACCAAGTATGTAAATGCAACAGCCAGTGCCCTAAAACCAGCTAATGCTCTAGTACCGGCAGTTTTCAGCTGGGCAAACTGAGGGCACTAAAATTCTTGCTAACACCAACAGTTTCTTTATAGGAAATGCCATGCGGCTGGAACCAGTTTTCAGCATCAAGAAAGGAAAAAACCCAATGTTTTTTTTGCAGCAGAGCATGTATTAATTAGAATTGTTGCAAGAGCTGTTTCCCTCCCGCCTCACCAAAGCATTCGGGCAGCCCCTGCAGCTGCCGAGTGCTGTCAGAAATTCAGGCCACAAACTTTGGCCGTGGCTGCCAGCTCCCAGCCGTGCGAGCTCCCCTGCATAGCCAGGCGGGTTTGGGGGCCCGCGCACGCACCCCGGCCTTCGGCCATGCAGACCCAGAGCCCCTGGCACACCGGCAGCTCGG